GACCATAAGTGATTTATTTAGACGTGAAAAAGAAGGATTTAAAAGCATGATATGATACCTTTAAGACCCAACTGTGGGTCCTAAAACTCCAAATTTTAGGTTATTAGAGGATTTCCTGAAATTAAAAGAAGTTAAAAACTGACTGCTAAGAATGTTTTTGCTGTAGTTAGAAATGGATAAAAACAATCGGTCTATTAGCAATATTTGAATACTTCAAYCAAAACTACTTTGGTTTATGAGTTTCTGCCAGTTTATATTTTTTGTCATTTGTGTTTATTATGAAATTGGTCTCAAATTTAATTTCACTTGGAATTAAAAAGTCTTAAAAGGTCTTAAATTTAACTTGCCTTAAACTGCAGGAACCCTGAGACAGCAGTTACTCACCACCACTCAACAATGAGTAAAACTCTTACTTTTACTTTTAATAGTGTTTCTGTATTATTTATTTCACATTAAGTCAGTTGTACACATAGTACTTATCAGTGTTTACATGAGGACGTGTTAAAATGCTGTTTCTATGTAGAAAATACCATGTAGAGCTCAGGTGTTGTTTACCAGTGCAGCAATAAGATGAGGAACATGACGTTTTGTGTTTAGTTGAAGTTAAACATGAAATATCAAAGTTAATTACAACTGGTCCTTTGAGGGCCACCATGGTGCTCATCTGGGTCTCTGTGAAAATGAGTTTCACACCCCTGGCTTAAGATGATGGCCAACGTATTGAGTGTGACTTAAGTTTTTTGTGTTTCCTAAAAAATCCTTTTAAAAAATGACTTAGTTGAGTATTTCAGGAAGGTGCTGATATACTAAATAAACTGCTGCTTCTTCCTGATGTTGTCCAAATGATCCCCAATCCATTCTAATACTAATCTAGTTGTTACTTGTGTTCTCAGTCAGATTTTTGTAATTACATGTGTTTGAAACACTAAACACTATCATGAATCTTTTTGCACAACATCATTAACTTAACAGCCTGACCAGCCATTGTTCAAGGCAAAATAACAAAATACCACCCCCCAAAAACAGCATAATTGAGTTGCTGCCAGTGCCAACAAGGTTTCAAACTCTTGCACGTTTTTTGTGTGCAACGCATGCTTTAGGCTCTGTCTCTTGTTGCCACACAAACAGAGCAAATCTTAAATGAAAGAAAATAACAAGCTGGTTCTGCACACAGAGCAATGTCTAAAACCGTCCTTTGAACATAAAATCTATATAAAGTACAAAAAAAGGCACCATTTCTATTCTGTATTTTTAGCAAGCGTCAGTCGTCGTCATGGGTTCGTTTTTAGTCTGTTGTCTACAGATGTTCATTTGGACTTTTCGCCACACGTTTGTGAAATATCTGCAGACTCAAACAGTAAACAGGATCCATGAGAGCGTCCCTGATGTGTGGGAGCAGAGGACGTTTTACACAGATGGTACAACCGTGGTAACTACATTAGTGGTTCATAACTATTAATTATCCCCGACACAGAGTCAGGACGGGTCAGGAGCTGACAGATAATGACAGTCTGTACATTTCAACACATCAGACAGGATTTATGGGACTCAGCACAATTCTTTACTAAACTGCCATTTTCTGCTGTTTTCAGCACAGCTGATGAAACTATTAAAGTAACATTTAATTTTATTATGAACGTCTTTATTTTTCTTTTAAAAGTTTCATTTGTCCCAAAACAATGTCCTTGAATCTGAAGCACATTTTTTGTTGAATTCAACAGTAATAACCTTAATTTCCTGATTAATTTTTTTACAAAAGGGTAACACTTTATAACTACACTTCATTTTGCCTTACTTGATCATTAATAAATGGTTATTTAATTATTGTTTGTAGATGATTCTTACTTAGTAATCTATGTAATACAAATGTGTTAATGCTTACAGTCTAATTACTTCTATAACCAACATACTTATTGTTTATCAATGCTTAATAACTCATGAATTAAACTACGTGTGTAAATGCTCATATAAATGAACATTAAGACCATGTGATAGACATGTATTAATAATTAGAGAACATATWTACACAGTATATAGAATGGTTAATTCATGAGTTATTAAGCATTAATAAACAATGAGTATATTGATTTTGGATGTAATTAGCCTTTATGGGTAAATCATTAATAAATGTGTTAATGCAGAGCTTATTAAGTACGAATCATCATTGATTAATTATGTTTTTATGGTTAACTAATCATTTATTACTGATTAAGTAAGACTAAATAATGTGTAGTTATAACAAATATGGTAGTCAACTAGTTTGTGAAACAGCTTACATAATCCATTTAAATCTGTTCCTCCAACCCGTGTGTTTATTTTGGGTTTTAAAAGGTTAAAACCTTTTTAAATGTCAGTTATCACCCTCGCTGCTTCTTTATGAGTCTAAATTCCAAAACAGACAGACCTGCTGTGTTTGGTTACAGTCGCTAAGCTCCGACAGCACG